TTGGAAGGAATTTGAATTGTTCTAATTCAATTAAAGAAAATTTGAGTTAATTGTGTATAACACAATTTAATATAATGTATGATGATACATTATAAAACTATATTTTATAAGAGAATAATGTGAATAGGATTATATTAAAATTATAGGTTAAAGTTTAATGTGAATTAGATTCCTATTAAATACTATAGGTTAGGAGGGAAATGCATATTTGAAATATGATTCAAATATTAATTGATTTAATTAAATTATGTTTATTTAATTAGTTAATTAGATAATAATTAATTAATAATTAATTTAATTAAATTAGTTTTAATTTAATTAATTATTTAATTTGTTTATTAAATTAAATATAGTTAATGATAATTATTATTAATTTTGTTAATTATGTTAATTAATAACATAATTAACAAAATATCACCACTTCCCAGCAATTTTGGTGGGAGCGGTCTCCCACAGTCTATCTTCCATCATTTCGTTAAATCACAGAGGCTCTTTTATGATTAGTGTTGCTTCATTTTTGTAGCAAAGATGGTAAAGCAAATAAGATAACCACTCTCTCACGATCACAAAACTCCCAGTTTTTCCTTCTCCAAGAATTAAGATCCCACAATCTGGGCTCTTAATCCTAGAGATATAGTACGGTTGCTTTGTGGTGGTGTTCGGTCGTGCGTTCGTGATCATTGGTTCGTCCCGACTTTAAATCTGTGCTTGAGGAAGAAGTTTTGCCCACGGTCTTCAAATGTAAGTCATCTTCTTCCCAAAGAGGCTTAACCTCTAATTTAGAATAGAATTGTTCTGTTTCTATAAATAGGTAACGTATAATTTCTAAGCCAAATTGAATCACAAGTGATCAACCGCTTCCGCTGGGGATTCGATCCCTTCAATGCATAAGTGAGCAATTGTGGAGAAGTAAAATAGCATGTTCAATTCCTTTGGCAGATGAAAATGTATAAGTTCCTGCTTATTTCCTTTGTTTGTGGTTCAATTGGGGGTGCCTATATGTAACTAAAAAAGTGAAGTGGCCAAGGTACAACTAAATCGGAGGAGAAATGTTGGAGCTTTATCGTGCTAGAGCATGCGAGGCTGGTGCAATCTTATGCAGCAGCAAGTGGAGGTACCACAGTAACTTTCCTGTACGGGAATTTTAACCGTGTCTGTACAAGAATCCTTAGTTCCCCTAAAATTTGGGCCTATATAAAAACTTAAGGAGTGCACAGAATAAATCCCAAGAGAGAAAATATTCCTTACTCAGTGATAAAGCCGAGGCAAGCACAGTCCCATTTTGGAGAAAGAGTTGATGATAGACATTGGAGCCACTGGGTTTTTTATTGAGCTGGTGGTTATAGTAGATTTATGAGCGTTCTTTCACAAAATGGGTTACTTATTTTGTTTACTCATTGTGTTTACCCCTCCCTCATTAATTAAATCTCATTTTTTTAGGAGATCATGTGCTGTAAGTTGCAACAGATAAATAGGGTTGTAATAATATTTGCATCCTACTGATTTTTGCTAACCGCATTTATCAATTTTCTTACTACTGTATGACTCGGGAGAATATATAGGTAGTGTGTTTGGCTCTCTTTATGGTTAGGGTAGTCATTGCTAGTATATTAGTGGATGCTTAGGAATGACTAAAAAGGGTTTAGAAAAAGAATTAGAAAATGAAAAGTGTATTAGAAAAAAAAAAGTAACACAGAAAAGTAAAAAATTGATAAAAACAAACTAACTAACGTGACATTCTTAAAAAAAAAAACAAGAATATTTTTGTTTTGAAAAAAAATAAAGAAGAGAATCTCAAATTCCTCCCAATTTTGTAAAGTCAAAATTTAGATTTGAAAGTTTGAAAATTTGTTAGAAATGAAGCATTCTTCATTTAAAAATAAGTAAATAAAATATTCCGCTGCTTCTTCTAGCAGTCTGTTGCCTTCTTCCTTTTTTTCTCTTTTGGTTTTCCTTCTCAGCTTTGTGGCCGAATACCAATCTCCTTGTTAACTGTAAGTAAAAGTAAACTTATGTTTTTTTGTTCGCTCATAATCATTTATTTCCTAAACAAATTTTCAATTTCAAGGAAAAACGATATTATTTACTATATTTGATTTTTTTAAAATTTTAATTTACTTTAGGTTTTGCTAAGAACTTTGGTAGATTGAGCCGATAATTAATTCTGGATCTATTAAGGTAAGTGACTCTGCTTCCATAATGGCCTTAGGGTTAGGTTGGAAATTTTATATGATTTTTGGATGGCTATGTGTGGATGTTGTTTATGAATTGACTATTATGTGAATTGTTGTGCTGCATTACATAGAATATAATTATGGGGCTTCATACATGATCTTGAATGTGAAAATGTTTTATATGTATATATATAAAAGATGTGACAACCACTCTATTGTAATGCATATACTAGATTGAAATTGAGGACCTAGGTGAGTAAGACTTAACCCTACTGACTAGGGGCCAACTACCATCAGTTAGGGTAGAGTCTCACAGGAAAGCCACCTATGTACCATGATGGAGTTGGTATCGACTGTATGAGGATTAGGTTAATTGCTCACATTGGCCAAAAAAAAAAGTGAAAAGAAAAAGGAAAATGATATTGACGGATAAATATTTATGTCCCACATAGTTATGTTATTAAACGACACTATTTATGTTTTTGTATGCACGTCTGACTATGTTAGTGGGATTACTTACTGGGTATTTTAATACTCACTCTCATTCTAAATTTTCTTTTGGTAATGGCAAGAACATATGAGGCGAGTGAAAGACTTTTTATGTGCATGGGGACTGCGTCCGCATCATTTTATTTTCTCATTCCGTATTAAATTATGTTGAAGTATTTTATTGTAAACATTTAGGGATAATGTTTTCTTTTTATTCACAATTTAATTATTTGTTTTTAGAAATTGCTTTGTTTTGTTTACTTTTTTTTTATCCAAAAAGAAGGTTTTTACCTATTTTGTAACTTATAAAAGTTTCGCTATGACATTGTTATTTGTTACCATTTTGTTTAAATTTAAAACGTTGAAAGAATGCATGTAGTAACGTCCCTAGTTAGTATAAGTCCAGAAAGTCGAGTCGTTACAGTTGGTATCAGAGTCCAAGTTAATGGTTCTGTAGACCTGCTTACATCATAGGCATTAATGTGCCACCATGGCCACACACGCAAACACCTTGTCACCGCAAGGTATTTCTTCTATTTTAACATTATTATTATTATTATTATTATTATTATTATTATTATTGCTATTATTGCTTTAAAGGCAAAATATAGCATGCATAAGAAACAAACAAGACTATGTTGCCTTGTGATATGTTTCATGTTTTATGGTTGTGATGTTAGGCTAAAATGGTCGTTATTAAATTATGCCTCCACGTAGAACAAGGTATGTGAGACGTGGTGGGCTAGGTGGGATAATCCAACCTCCTGCGCTGGCAACAGGCAAGGGCTAGTGCGAGGGTGGTGCGTTTTGAGGTTAGTGATAGTGTATTTTATACACCGCATTTCATGATATTCAGGTGGAAATTATTTAACAATTTTCGGTCATTTATGGCTTATTTACGTGCATAACTGATGTTTTTATAGGATCAAGCCATTAGAAAGAATTTGAGCATAAGCGATGAATTCAGAGAAAAACTAGAGCGAAAAAGAGGAGCTTAATTCAGCCACATCAGCACCATGCGCCTTGTAGACGAAGCTTGGGCCTTTTTCCTCGATGACAGCGCTGCAGCGCTGTATTGTAGCGCCATGACGCTACTTGCACGTCCGTCACAAATTTGGGACAGCGCCATGATGCTCACTAATGGTGCCATGGCACTGTAGCGATGTCATAACATAAGTAAAACATGAGTGCGCCATTTTTGGGGACTTTTGGGGATTCTCACATGGTAGACTGGGAATTTGGAGAGGATTGGCTCGAGATTTGAAGCAAAAAGGGCGAGGAGACGATTTTCGAAGGCTCGTGATCGTGGAGATTGAGTCGGGGACGGTCAATCGACACTACGACTTTAGTTTCTCTCCTTTCCCTTATCTTTTCTAGATTTATTATGAAATTCTTTGTGGGATTTTATTGTATTTTCGTGAACATGAGTAGCTAATCTTCTTGTTTTAGGGATTGACGTAGCCGTTGGATTTATGAGTTGGATTTATTAACAATTGTCTTCATTGATTTGTTTTTAATCTATTTGTGCATTTATTTGCTTAATGCTTTTAATCTCTTGATCATGAATTAATTGTTGCTAAATCTGAATATCTTACACTCGGGAGAGGTGGTTTGGATTGAAACCTGAATACATGACTGAGGTAGTTCTAAAATCGGGAGATTTAGAATTATCTTAGAGGTTGTTAAAAGACTAAGACTTAAAGTCCTGCTTGTTAATGAAACTAGATAGAAATATTGGTTTCTTAATAAGTGGAAGAATTAATTGTGCTCGGGAGAGACAGTTATGATTCTTGATTTCTTGACTTATAGATTAATTGCATATTCAATCTTGGCATGTTTAATTTGTCCGCTTGTAGGTTCAGTTGGTGAAATCACTTCCCTATGACCCGTTCTCCATAAGAGTTTTCCTAAAGTTTTTTATTCGCTTTGTTATTTGATTTTTGCGTGTCAAATAAAATTCCTAGTTGTTTCTCTACATAAAATTGGACATTAATATCTGTGTTACTTGAGCGACTAAAAACCCAATCTAGTGGACGATATCGGTAATTACTTACCTTTTATTAAAACTTGACCCGTACACTTGCGGTAAGCATTTTCTGCTACAAGTTTTTGGCGCCATTGCCGAGGATTGGCAATTATTTAGTTTCACTTGATACTGTGGAGAATTTGTTTGATCTTACTATAGAGTTGTTTTTAATTTTTGTGTCTTTACTTGTTTTTTGTAGGGAGTTGATTTGTATGCGCAAGGACAAAGACGCAGTTTTAGTTCCTTTTAATCCTGAAATTGAGAAAACCTGTAAAAGAAATTGAAAGGAGAAAAAGAAGACGCCTGCAGAGATGGATCCTCCACCACCACCTGTACCGATTGTTCAACCTATGGAACGACCCCAATTAGAACAAAATAACCAAATGACCATTAGAGATTATTGTCAGCCGAACTTTCCTAATCATGTTGGCATAATCAATTTGCCTATTAATGCCAACAATTCTGAGTTGAAACCTGGCCTCATCCAGATGGTTCGAGAAAATACATTCAGGGGCAATGCCACAGAGGATCCAAACAATCATTTGACAATATTTTTAGATGTTTGTGGTACTGTAAAGATGAACGGAGTAATTGATGATGCTATTCGCTTACGCCTTTTTCCTTTATCTTTGCAGGATAAGGTAAGAGATTGATTGAAATCTTTGCAACCAGGCAGTGTTAATTCTTGGCAGGAGATGGTTCAGGCGTTTCTCACAAATTTTTTCCCACCTGCCAAGACAACTCAACTTAGAACAGAGATCAGATCATTCAGGAAATATGATTATGAGCAATTGTTTGAGGTTTGGGAGAGATACAAGGAGCTTCTAAGGAAATGTCCACAGCATGGTAATCTGGAGTGGCTGCAGATTCAGATGTTTTACAATGGATTGAATGGACAAACAAGGACTATACTGGATGCTGCTGCTGGAGGCACTTTATTATCCAGAACACCTGAGAATGCTTACATCTTATTGAAGGACATGGCAGACAATAGTTTCCAATGGCCTAGTGAGAGATCGAATGCCAAAAAAGTTGCTGGAATGTATGAAATCGATGAGCTAAGTTCCTTAAAAGCTCAAGTTCAAGCTTTGACGAATGCTGTTTCTAAACTTTCAGGACCAGGAACCTCTCACTCAAATGAGTTGGTGGCAGCAACAGATACATATTCTTACTATGAGCCAACCATCGAGCAAGCTCAGTATGTCAATAATAGAAATTTTGGCTACAAGGGAAATCAGCAATAGAGCTCGCTACCAACACACTATCATCCAGGGTTGAGGAATCATTAAAATTTTTCGTATGCTAACAACAAGAATGTTTTGCAACCTCCACCAGATTTACATCTCATCCAGCTGAAAAAAAATCCTCCCTTGAGGATCTACTTGGGGCTTTCATAAATGAGTGCAGAAGTCGAGCTAGTCGGATTGAAAATCAGGTAGAAGGCATGGAAGTTAAATTGGAAGGAAACACAACTTCCATCAAGAACATGGAGGTTCAGATAGGGCAAATAGCACCCACCTTGAACACTATGCAGAAAGGGAAGTTTCCAAGTGACATTGAAGTTAAACCACGAGAACATTGCAAAGCCGTCACTTTGAGAAGCGGAAAGGAACTCCAGGAGCCTGAAAAGAAAAAAATGGAAGAACCAGTCATCACAACTGAGGAACGGGAAAATAAGGAGGAAGTTGTAAAGGAGGCCACTCCTGCTCTACAGGCTGACAAGCCTACTAGTTCTATTGTTTCTAGTCCTCCTAATTCTTTACCTTATCCTCAGCGTGTCCAAAAGAAAAAAGATTAATGCTCAATTTGCTAAGTTTTTAGAAATTTTTAAGAGACTTCACATTAATATTCCTTTTGTAGATGCGCTGGAACAAATGCCAAATTATGTGAGGTTTATGAAGGACATTATGACTGGGAAAAGAAAATTGGAGGCTTATGAAACGGTGAATCTCACTGAGGAGTGCAGTGCGATCCTTCAGCGAAAACTACCACAAAAATTAAAAGATCCAGGGAGTTTTACTATTCCTTGTACTATTAGTAGTTCATCATTTAACAAGGCTTTATGTGATATTTGTGCCAGTATTAATTTGATGCCTTTGTATGTTTTCAGGAAACTTGGTCTTGGAGAGCTGCAACCAACTACAATATCCTTGCAGCTAGCTGATCGATCTATCATTATCCCAGAGGTGTTATTGAAGATGTTCTGGTCAAAGTTGACAGATTAATTTTCCCTGCGGATTTTGTGGTCTTGGAMATRGAAGAAGATTCAGAGATTCCTATAATTTTGGGACGASCTTTCCTGGCGACYGGAYGTGCTCTGATAGACGTGCAATTGGGTAAKTTGACTTTGAGAGTTAATGAAGAGGTCGTTGTGTTTGACATATCTCRTGCCATGAAATATCMTGARGAGGTAAGTACATGTCATAGGATAGATGTTGTTGATGCCACCGTGGCTGAAATAAGATCTTTTGTTTCATTTATTGATGCCYTTGAAAAATGCATGCTTGGTTCTKATATTGAGGAMATAGGGGAATTAGATCAGGAGGTTTCTTTTTATCATGATGCTCTTAATCAATTACCAATTATTCATGATAAAAATGTTAAAGTTGATGTGATGGAGCTTAATGAAAAACTTGATGAACCTGTGAAAGCTCCTGCGCTTGAATTGAAAGAATTACCTGCTCTTCTTCCAAATGTTTTTCTTAGTGAGCCTTCTACTTTTCCTGTTATTATATCTACTTCTTTGAGCCAAGTAGAAGAGGAAAAGTTGTTGATAATTTTGCACACTCATATATCTGCTTTAGGATGGTTTATTGCTGATATAAAAGGTATTAGTCCTTCGATAGTTATGCATAAAATTTTAATGGAGGATACTTTTTGACCATCAGTTGAGCATCAGAGGAGACTAAACCTAGCTATGAAGGATGTGATAAAAGCCGAAGTTCTAAAACTTCTTAAGGTAGGGGTTATTTATGCTACATCTGATAGTTCTTGGGTGAGTCCTGTGCAGGTTGTGCCAAAGAAAGGAGGGATGACGGTAATAAAAAATGACAAAAATAAATTCATCTATACAAGGACGGTAACTGGGTGGCGAGTATGCATTGACTACAGAAAATTAAATAAGGCCACCAGAAAAGATCACTTCTCTCTCCCTTTTATTGATCAGATGCTTGATAGATTAGCAGGTAATCCTTACTATTGTTTCCTTATTGGTTATTCAGGTTATAATCAGATCGCGATTGCTCCTGAGGACCAAGAGAAGGCGACATTCAAATGTCCCTATGGTACCTTTGCCTTTAGGCGAATGCCATTTGGGTTGTGTAATGCCGCTGCACATTTCAGCGATGCATGATGGCTATTTTTCCTGATATGGTTGAGGACATCATGGAGGGTTTTTCTATTTTTGGTTCTTCATTTGACACTTGCCTCCACAATCTTTCTCGTGTTTTGCAGCGTTGTCAAGAAAGTAACCTTGTTCTGAATTGAGAAAAATGCCATTTTATGGTCACAGAAGGGATAATTTTGGGGCATAAGGTTTCTGAAAAGGGATTGGAAGTTGATAGGGCTAAAATCTCAGTGATTGAAAAACTTCATCCCCCGATGAATGTAAAAGGAGTTAGGAGTTTTTTAGGACATGCAGGATTTTACAGGCGCTTTATTAAAAATTTTTCAAAAGTTGTAAAWCCTCTATGTTATCTTCTTGAAAAAGATGCTCATTTTCTTTTTACTGATGATTGTTTGTTAGCATTTAATATGTTAAAAGAGAAATTGACTTCTGCACCTGTTATTATAGTTCCTGATTGGAGTCAACCTTTTGAGATTATGTGTGATGCTAGTGACTTTGCAGTAGGAGCAGTTTTCGGCCAGAGACGAGAAATTTTTCAGAGCAATTTATTATGCAAGCAGGACCCTTGACAGTGCACAACAAAATTACACTACCACAGAAAAGGAGATGCTTGTTGTAGTTTTTGCTTTTGATAAATTTAGGTCATATTTGTTTGGCACTCCAGTGACTATGCATATTGACCATGCAGCTCTTCGATATTTATTTAATTAGAAAGATGCAAAACCTCGCCTGATTCGATGGATTCTTCTTTTGCAGAAGTTTGATTTTGAGATTAAGGATAAGAGAGGTTGTGAAAATGTGGTAGTTGATCACCTGTCGAGGATTGAACATGACAACCCCAAAACATTCCCCATCATAGAAGATTTTCCTGATGAGAAATTGTATCAGGTAGAGTCTAGTATTCCTTGGTTTGCTGACTTTGTTAATTTTCTTGCAGGAGGAGTATTACCAC